GGCTCTCTCCGGGCTTAACTCGAACCGAGTTGTGTCACCGCGCCGCGCTGTGTTACGAGGCTGTTATTCAACGCGCGCGCGAAAATATGCGACGGCCAGCGACGTACGCGTCGACGACGGTGCGCGTCTGCCGCGGGGGCTGCGATCGATCCGGAAGGTCGATCGCCGAGGAGCCGATCGCCGAAATACTTTGCGCGCGAAATCTCGAGATACCGACGAGAGTCCGCGGGACCGAGATATCGCTTCATTTGTCTTCATTTTTTTCTTATCGATTTGCGGTCGAGCGACTCTCACTGATCTCTCGTGCAATCGTACACTCCCGGCGAATTCTTTGAAACAATTAAGATTTTTGTATCAAGAAATTCTCTCTTTCTCTCTCTCTCCTGCGATGACACGAGCGCGAGTTGTGAAAATGGTCTGAAAAAATGGTCGACAGATAACTGTAGAATTGTTCTCGCGGCATCACTTTCCGCGCGCGCGTTTCTTGCGCGCACACGCGTAGCATTTCCGTCGCGCGCTCGCGGTTCTGTTTACAAATTCCTCGGGTCTCGTCCGGCAGTCAGGCCCGCCGACGTGTCCGTTACTGTAATTCCGCGAACTGCTTTAACAACGTCATGAATCACGGAATGACTCCGTGCGCCGTAATGTATGCGCGCAGAAACGAGAGATAACAGGCGCTGCCATTATTTTCGTATGCGATTACTATTCCGGACGTGACGCGGCTGTGCCGTTCGTGTGAGTCGCTTCCAAACGATAGTAATACATATATCGATAACGACACGGAGAGTAGCGAGGGCGGGTGGATCGGATTAAGGTGGAAAAAAGTTCCGCGAAAAGGAAATGTGACGTTTAAGCGCAAGACATACTTGAGTGGTAGACATCTTCTAGCGACCGAAATCAGTATAGTCGCAAATTTTTATTAATCCAATATTACGAGGATTACCTTTTCACAAGTGCAAGACGCATCGAGTCGTTTCACCTATGGATTCTTGGACAGAATCGTAGCTTAGTGAAAACGTTCGATAATCCTTAAAGCAACGAGTGGAAAATCCATCGACAATTAATCTCGGAAATGTCGCTACTAGATGTTTACGTACACAATTAATATATTCGCAAAGAAAATCTAGGGAATGTCCCGCCGAACCTTCACCAGCAAACCTTGGAATTGCTCGGGTAATTCGCAAAGTACGCGTGTGCATCCTGTAAAAAAAAAATCGATCCTGCTCGAAATGCAAGTTTGACGTTTGCCCTATTGTAGAGTAACACGGAGCACCCCTCCAGCCTTTCCGCTCGCGAACGAGCAATGTAAATCTCTCTCTTTCTTTCGGAGCGCAAGTTTAACAGTGCGTTCGCGTGAGAGCGACGATCTCGGGTGCATATCGGGCGCCGAGAGTAGGACGCGCTCTCGGAACAAAGCACGTTTCGCGTGCAAGTACATGGGCTGCGTATATAGAATAGGGTACGCGCGTATGTACAGTAAGCGCAGCAGACCGTCCCGTCTCGTCGCGGCTCAGACCCTAATGACGTCATTATCTCTAATTAGAATTCCCATAGTGGTAAAGCGCCACGCGGGGGACGCCCCGTTACACACCTAGGGACTCTCCCGATAAGCGGATAGTATCGATGTTTCGCGCCCGCCATACCGAAGAGCGTGTATCCTTGCGTGCCCGATACTTGACTTCCGGCCGTGCCAGACACGCTGATCTCGCCCCCGAAACGCTGAGTAATCAGATAACTCCGACACGGCGCGCATATATTATCGCGCGCCCCGGTGCGCGCGGTCTGTTATCGATTTTTATTTCGACCGTTGCAAAAATCGTCACATCGCTCGATTATCGTAAAGGTCGAATCGGACTGGCAATTGTCGGCGCGGATTGGATTGGGTTTGGCGATTGGCGATTGTCTTCCAGCCAATCGGAGCATAGCCAGCGATTTAATCGACTCTCATTGGCTAGAGGACAGTCGTCAATCTCAATCTAATCAGAGTCGGCAATTGCTAGATTCTGTCCTAAGCCAACATTGCGCGGGATCGTCACTTTCGGCGGAGTATGCGCCACAGACTTCTATGTACTAGACTGCTACCTTCGAGCTAAAAAGTGAGGCAAGAGTCTTGTTAGGTAAATAAAGTGGTATATATGCATCGTTGTATCACTGACAGACCGATGCACACATAATACTTTATTAGGACATGGCGGAACTCACTTTTCAGCTCGGAGGTAGCAGCAGCACAGTATAACTAGTGGATCCACTCCGTCATTTGTTTCGTTTCACGTCTATCCCTTCTGCGCATCCGACATTGTTCTGGGCCCTAGACGTATATATAGACTGCGCGTTTGGCTGAAGAAGTGGTACAAACTTACAGGAGACTTAAGGAGACAACATACTTTGAGTGGTCGCCCTCTATCATTTCCCTTACTCTTCCCCCCACGATTTATTAGACGAAGATGAGGCGACCACTCAACTGCCAGCTCTCTCGTTCTAAAGTTTGTACATGTTCTCAACACGGGAGAAGTAGGAAACGCGCAGTCTATTCTTACTATGTCTGTGTTCTGGGCCGAGGAGGAAACCGCTGAGGGCATTGTGGTGTACAGATTTGCGGCATTACTGGGCATTACTAGGCATTTTTGGGCATTAGACCTCGCTGGGTCTTTATAAAGATAAAATAAGATAATAAGATAAAGTAATGCCCACTGGGCATTAGTGGGCATTGGTGTACAAGATTCTCGTCAGCGGTTTCCCCCCTCGTTCTGGGCGGACCAATGAGAGAAAAGTTGTATGCGTGGTAGTGTACTCTGGGAAAAAACAGACAGTTACAACCCATTTTGGGGCCCATCATTAGTAATCGAATTATTTGGATTGTTCGTAATTCTACTCTGGGAAAAATTTTGACCGGTTTTTTTGTTGTAGTTAAGCAACTTAACATTTTGGTCAGTGCCTCTTAAGTGAAAATTATCTTTGCGTGACTGAATATCGACAGAACTAACTGAGAGAATTTTGATTAGTATTAGGTACTTAAAAATCTTGGATATAGATAGAATAGCTAATGTGATTTTTAGTTACGCGGGGTAAAATTCGTAAAAGAAAGAGTTACGAACAATCCAAATAATTCGATTACTAATTGCGGGCCCGAAAATGGGCTGTCTCTTCTTTCCCAGAGTAGCTTTGATACACTACCGCACGTACAACTACAGTACGTATGCACACATACGCCGCTGGATTGCTGCCCAGAATAATGGCGGGATACCACGTGATCGGGACCGCATAGGTCAAAGGGGCCAACAGAGAGTGGACCTAACTACGTACACTGTACCTGCGGTATATAGAAAGTCTGTGGTATGCGCGTCAGCTTTACCCGTCAGCCTCGACACGCCGTTAAAACTTTTTGACGGTCGTCGATTTCGCATTTCGAGAGCTCGCGGAAGTTGAAATATCGGTCGCTTAGCGAACTCTCTTTCTCCCGCCGTCTTTTTCTCTGCCGTTAGATTATAGATCGTGTAAAACGAGCCGCCGAGCATAGTCCACGCGTGATAGCGCGCCGGTAACGAGAATTGTGTATAGGATAAACTGCGGATGAGCAATCTGGCTGTGACCAATCGTCTATGTGCGTCGCACGCTCGCGGTTACATCATCGAAAACGTTGTTCTCTTTCTCCATCTATCTATCTTTGTCTCCCCCTCCCCCCCCCCCTCCGCCCCTGTCTCTCTCTCTACAGGATGTAGCGATAGAAGTGGATCATCGCGGAAAATATTCCTCTCCATCGCTCTCCACTCTCTCGCCACGCGCGCGCAAAAATTGATCCGCTGTCGTCGTCGTCGTCGTCGTCGTCGAAGGTCACGCGGAAATTGATTTCGGTCGCGTTCCTCGCGCCTCTCGTTCCGCTAATTCGATCTATCCGATCGGATAACGGGTGTCGCAAGGAGGAAAAAAAACGCAGACTGCCGGTTAAAGTCGGGCGTGCACGCGAGGAAAACCAGTAGCGAGTGTCGGGTATCGCGTAGTCCGCAGCGAATCGAGTATCGCGACGCGTAATTCAACCCTAAACTTGAAATGCCAAGAGATTCGCCAAATTAGAATCAGACTGCAGTAGAACCATCAAAACCCCGTGGTGTCTCCTAACGCAATTTTTTTTCTTTTTTTGCACGCTAAATATGTGTACAATATTTAATTGTTTGTGCGATAATCTCGCGAACGCAACTCGAACAATCGAAAGCACGTGACAGAAAATTGCGCAGATTCGGCGATAAGGTGTAAAAAAATAACCGACGCGTTTTACACTCGTTGCAAAACTGCCGGGTTTAAGATTAAATCGTTAAATGAAGGAAAGTGGCGAATTGCCTCCGCTGCCTCATTCACTCAGAGCATTTGCAAAGGGAAAAATAAAACGGCTCGTAACGCATCGACTGCACGGATCAGCGCCGGCGCGATATATTTGCTCGCTTGGGTTTTTCACGGAACCGCGGATGACCGACGCAATGGCGCGTCTCTCTTTTTATTATTCTCCGTATCGCCGTTCCCGGGGTCGCCTGTCGTTGGCGTCGTTTCTCCGCCAACGTCACGCGACAACTATGTGCGCGACACACCATTCTCGGAGACGTGCGACCGGGATTGCAAAATGCCTTACGCTCGTAGTTTGCCGTCCGCGGCCGGACACCGCGGCGTATCCCGCATCGGTGGACAAAATGTGCGTAGTTTCGCCGTTACGTCAGTTTTCTTTGGGCGATTTTCGATCATTCGGCACCGTCAGGGACACCTAACGTAACTCTGGTTTCTGGAACAGAAAATGCTAAGGTTATCTCTTAATTTTTATTTCATTCACTGTGAAATTAACTGAGCAGTATCGTGTTGAGATGATAAATCTCTAGGAGCTACGTCTTTCCAAATCATTTTGAAATTCTTTCATAGTGTCTACAAATTTGCATCTCCATACTTGACTTTTTTTATACACGCCCATTTTATTGTAAGCTGAATAAAATTAATATATGCGTTTTAATTTTCTACAGAATCGGAAAGCCCCCCCGAGTAGATTTCTCGCGGATACTCTGTAACTAGGACCAAAAGAGTTATTTCAAGGTAACACTTTCTAATATTTCTGATTGCTCCACTAATCTTGAGGTCCTAGACCTCTAAACGACGTGCACGGGAGGCAGCCGCCACATCTTCGCGAAAGAGTGCAATGTGGGTCGCGAGGGACGTGGTGAGATGCTGCTAAACGTGACCATACACGTCGGAAATATCTCTCGCGGCAGCTACACGCTCCGTAATATTCCTTAACCTTCTTCTGCAGATATTTCATCTCGAGATCTTTCGTCACTGTCGTCGTTATCCGTGCTTTCGTGATCTTGTTTGCTCCTGCTTTGAATTATAACTACCTTGGTTCTCGCGATGTCGAGTCATTGATGCTTCTTGGAATGATCGATATCACAAGATGAGTCATCCTCTCTGGAACGCAAATAAGAAATAAAATTCTATTTTTTTTCCTCCTGCGTCAATTCCGCGTGTATTCCGTCTTGATGGGATCCTAATGACGCCTAACTGTAAAGCGCTTAAATGTCGTAGACAAAAAATTGTGGAGAAAACCGGTCGAATATTTATCGAGTATTTTCTGAAAAGACTCAAAGTTTCTCGCGGGACGCCCGAGCACGTAATTGCGCAACTTCGAAGCGTATACGCCCTATACCTGACAAAAGTTGGTTACCGCGCCGCGAGTTGAGCACCGCTGACATGTTTAGACGCCGCCGTCGCGGTTGGATCTTTAAACTTTAAAAGCCAACGCGCCGGCCGCGTAGCTATTGACGGCTCTGGACCAGGGCCCCCTCCTTCCCACCTTGTTCCTGCCCCCCCCCAACCCCACTTGGACGGCGTGAGAGAAGGCCCTTTCGAATTTTCTCCCCTCTACTTTCTCCACCTCCACCTTTCTCGTTCTCTCGCGTCGGCCTCTTTCTCCTTGTTCGCGGGCACAGCGAGGCCTACCACCGAGTGGCCGCTTCCACCGCGATTATGCAAAACAATTATTGTGGAATGCGGTCAGCTGTTCCCAGACGCACGCTGACGTCACGCGCGTGCTCTCTCACCCGGGCACGTGCTCCCGCGCGTCCTCCCTAGAAAAGAGCACGACCGCCGTACAAAAATGCGCGCCTGATAACCGTTCTCTTAGCTCTCCTTTTGTCTCCCTTTTCTTTTCGCGGACGACGCGGCGTGGAATTGAATCGGCAATCTTTTCCTTCAAACCCGTGCCCGTACATCGCTGCCGTCGCGTAATGCCGGTGGGTACGTGAGAGTACGGTCGCCGTGACCCAGTTTAGCGCCGAGATATTTTCGGAAAATGCCGTTCTAAGTTATTTTATTAATCCCACGTGACGTAACATTTCGATGTAACGTACGAAAATAACGTAATATCGATATTCCCCTGATATAATCTCTATACGATACGCGATAATTCGATATTGTATAATTCAATTCTAGTGTAATACACCGGGGTAATGATATAGGTATTAAGATATCTTTATCGCGATATCTACGTGTGCTCAAATAACGCGGTTATCTTCTCGTTTTGTTTCAATTTGAACAAAAGAAAACGTATTTTCACGATATCTCTGCGTTGACTCGAGTAGCGAAGTACCGCATCGTTTTTCTGCCGCATAAAATTTGTTAACCGTCAATAGCATGCCAGGAGAAACGAAGCTTAATTGTTTCACGATTCAGTCACGTGTTGTTTGAATTTACGAGAGATAAGGAGCATTTTATGTGTTCCACTGCTAGAATCTCGCGTCGGTCGTTTCCGTTTTCTCGCGAGATAATCGGATCGCGTGTGACATACGGGGCATTATGTTGCAATCATGACACATTGCACCTTCTAATGAGACTCATTTGAACAAGACTGAATGTATAAAGCGTTCTCAGATGGCAGCCGGCAGTGAGCGAAAAGAGAATTTATTCCAAAGAGCCGATAAAATCTACAAGTGGAACCGCAAGCGTTCCGCGCCCCTCTCGCTTCAACAAATCTGGAGATGTGTAATAGATTGATGAAAAGCGTACCGTATATCTCTAAGCTCGTTTTCAGATAATGATCCTTCGTAGAACCACTAATGCGTTTGAGTGTTTATAAATCTCTTATTCTACCCATACCGTTTTTCATATCTTATTTAGCGAACAAAACGTTTTACCGTTCACATAAGGTATAATCTTCAGTCGTGACAATACCGTCAAATGCTATTATAAATTACCCGAAACGGACTTTGAGAGTCGGAACATGCCTACCTTGTAATATCGTCGCTTTATTCGCGGCACTTCCGTTTTTTATTTGCGTACCGTGTCTCGAGGCACGCCCCGGCCTTGGAGCCTGATACACGTGCCGAAATTACATCGTACGTATTTTCGCTCGGGGAAAACGGGTATTTCATTAATTTACGGCGGCAATCGTCTCGCTGAAGACTCCTTGTTCTTCACAATTGGTTTCCTAACCCCTGTGTAAATACGCGGTTTACGAAACGCGATCAATAGCGGACCTTAATGCTCTTTGCGAAGATATCTGACTTATAGAACGACGAGGAGCGAAGAGAGAAGTTGCTCGGTGCCTCACGCGACTTATAAGCTTTATTACCTTTTAAATGTCGAGCAACAATTAGACAGTCTGGATATAAGTGCCTTTCAACAACAGACACGTTAACAAACGTTTCCATTCGACACTCGAACATTGTATATCTTCCGCGCTCAAACGACGATTACAGCTGTTATTATTCAGACACGCGTGTCACACTATACAAATATTTTATTATCACGCAATACGCAGACGCGTCTGCGACGGAGTTTTGCAAGATCTCACCGAGATCAGTTTCCAACGAAAGAATCTCGATAACTCGAAATAGACAAATTCGGATTCAAGAGCACGCACGTTTTATCATATCTTATATATTGATTGTGCAACAGTAAACTAAGTTTCCTTTAATGTCGATTAAATCAAATTTCACACGCTCTGTTCTTAGCACTAGCAGCTTCTTCCGTAACGATTGTTAAGAAACAAAAGTATCGCTGTCTACTTCAACACGAACGGTAATAACGATTTTAAATGACACGAGAATCGAAAGTGGCGGAAAACACGGGTGAGAATATTCCGTATTGAAACACATAGTTTCTCTTGCGTCCATAATCCCGAATACGCATTACGCAAAATAGCAGAAGAAGTGCCTCCACCGAAGTCACGTCGAAAGCATCATCGGTTGACCCGATTTTCAACGGTGATTTAAATCCGTTCCATTTCGGAGAAAAATACCGCAGATGTATTCGGTATGGCGAAAGGATCTCTGGAGAGACGCCGTATTTGCGTCGTGAGAACGCGTCTGCGGTGGATTTCTTGGTCTCGCGATGGGCCTCCGCGATTGGTCGCGAAAACCCGCCTCTATTACGCAGCAGAGCCTCCATCGCTTCGACGGTGGCCTCTCCGATAGTAGAAATACTGGTCGGAGGTGGGTCTTTAAAAAATTAGCGAGGTTCGGCCCGCGCGTGGGTTCGTTCAACTCTTCGCCCGTCTCTCTCTCTCTCCCTCTCTCTTTCTCGCCCGTGAACGCACGAATATTTTCCCCTCCTCCTCTCCCACACACGCACAAATCTCTCCCTCCTTTGTCCCCTCTAGTTTGCTCTCCGGCGCTCTGGGCGCGTCCACGTGCACACGGGTCGCCTCGCCGAAGTGAGTCACTATTTTTCTATTTTCTCGACTTTTTCCCTCTTGTTTCGCCATCTGACTTCCTTCTGCGCCTTGGTGAGTTTTTCGTACTAGATTTTATAAGCTTCCACATTTCTAAAGAAAGATCGGGCATCTCGCAGCTGAGACGGAGAGCAAGATCTTCCCCTATGGACTCCCTTTCGTATGAAATTTCGCGGTGTTCGAAATTAGTATTACCTTCAAAAGGAAATGGCTAGAGTTCGCGGATGTGTGCCTAGAAAAGTGCAAAACGTATTCGCGCGGGAATGTATCCCGTAATGCGTTTCTTCCTGGAACTGACACCAACGACCGGAAGGTTTCTATTTGAGTCATTGAATTCACGCGAAATCGGACACTGTCGCATTTCGGGAAAGCGCTTCAGTTTGACGTCTAGTGACTAATGCGCGGTTTCACCAGCGGCGGATAAGAACGATTTGCGTGTATAATAACAAGTTCATTTCCTGTGACCGATAAGAGATAGGGAGCAGATGTGTTTACGGAGCGGTCGGCGATTTTATTACGAGTTCGAATCGAGAAGGGAGAAGGCGTGCATGCGGGTACGTTCCGCGACTCGCGGGGTACACGCGGGTGAATTTAACGAATGCGGGGCTCGAAAACCGAAAAACTCGCCAGATAATAAGAATTGCCGGGAGCTCTATTGAATAAAAAAACGAGAAACACGTTTCGTTAGAGAGCAACAGTGACGTTTTATTTACAACTAAATGCGGCACAAACGAAATGAATGACAAAACGCACATGCGATAGCAAATAAAATATCCACGACGTTGCAATAAACTAGAAGCAGAATGAAAAATATCTATCGTATTAACGTGTCGTGCATTCCTCGTTCAAATTGTTTCGAACGGTCTCCCTTCTCCCCTTTCCTTATTAAGCTCCCGTAAAAACGCGCCGCTTCGACATTCCGCCGCTGGAAATGGGAGATTAAAGTCTGGCGCATAAATTACGCATATTGGTGCAGAAAATGACAATTCTTAATTCAGATTACATCCACCGCGGTCGGCCGTCGCATTATTATTGCGACGGAGAATTTCTCGGACAGTTATTACTTTCCGGAACACGGCGATGGCGATGGTGGTCGTAACAATACGGTATCACTGCTGTTAAGATAACCGAGGACGACGCGGTTCCCACGTACCGCCGTCCGCGTATATCGTTGCCCGTGTTGTATAACTGCAGGGGTACAGATCCTTTAACCGGCATTTTGCGCGCGGTGGATGCCGCCGGGGGGACCTGCGCGGTCCGCGTTCCTTTATATTGTTATTTGCAGCCGAGCACTGCCTATCGAGAACGCTAACGATTGATACTTGGGTACGTGGTTGCCTCGGCACTCACGCGAATATTGGCCGCGCAA